CATGAAGTTGCTTTTTTTTTTTCTGCTTTTTTTTTTTTTTTTTTTTGGAGATGGAGCTTTTCTCTTGTTGCCCAGGCTGGAGGGCAATGGTGCGATCTTGGCTCGCCACAATGGTGCGATCTCAGCTCACCACAACCTCTGCCTCCTGGGTTCAAGCGATTCTCCTGCCTCAGCCTCCCAAGTAGCTGTGACTACAGGCATGTGCATTTTTAGTAGAGACGGGGTTTCTCCATGTTGGTCAGGCTGGTCTCGAACTCCCAACCTCAGGTGATCCGCCCGCCTTGGCCTCCCAAAGTGCTGAGATTACAGGCTTGAGCCACGGCATCCAGCCCTATAAAGTTGCTTTGAATACTGAAGTAGCAGATACTAAATCAGTGTTTCCAGGGGGAAGTATAAGATTTAGTTTCTGTAAGCACCTGGTCACAACATTTTTGTCAACTGATATATACTTTGTTTTATTTGTGTTTTTGTTTAAAGATACCATATTTAATATATGTTGTTGATTCATTAACATCGAGCTCATGGCCAACAGTACTAAAAGTTATGCCTGAGCACAGCTTACCTAACATACATATTGTCTCTGTAAGGCACGTCACAGCCTTACAGCTTTTTTTTTTTTGGTTGTTGTTGTTGTTGTTTTAGAGATAGAGTCTTGCTCTGTCGCCCAGGCTGGAGTGCAGTGGTGTGATCATAACTCACTGCAGCATCAAACTTCCAGGCTCAAGTGATCCTCCCACCTCAGCCTCCTGAGTAGCTGGGACCACAGGCACGCCCACCATACCTGGCTCATTTTAAAAGTTTTTGTAGAGATAGGGGAGTCTCGATATGTTGCTCAGGCTGGTGTCAAACTCCTGGGCTCACGTAATCCTCCTGTCTTGGCTTCCCAAAGTGCGGCTGGGATTACAAGTGTGAGCCACCGCACCCAGCTACCCCACAGCCTTCTAGAGCTTAGAAACACAATAAGCACGTAAGCTTAGAAACGCTAGACAGCACTTCGGCAAAGTGCCTGGGACCATTTTAAACGGCAAAATCAACAAAAAACGTGAAAAATAGAAAAGGATGGCATTAAATAGGCCACAAATAGGATGCTTGTTCACCGTATGAGCTGAAACAAGATAACAGAGCGTGGTTTTATTGTACCTCAGCTACAGATGTTCACGCCGTGCAGCTCAAAATGTTCATCTCTCTGCAAATGACCCAGAATAACTTCAAAATCTCCGCAAGTATTAATTTTGGGGTCACAAACACATGTTAGTGAGTGAGTGACTTTGCAAATACAGAATCTATGAATAATGAAAATCAACTGTATAAAAATTCCATTTCCTTTTTATTAAGGTAGACATCAAAGCAATTTGAAAAAGTGTAAAACAACGTCACTCTTCTCTTTTTTTTTTTTCCTTGTTTTGGAAAATACAGTTACTTTTCACAAAAATATGCTATTTTATGTTAACATGTAGTAGGTTTATTTTTGTTACGTCAAAACGAATAAATAAGTGTAGAAACACTTTTTCAGTTTTAATTTCTGATACTGTAAAGATCAATAGCTGTAACCTATATAAACAAAAGCTCTTTGGGATCTCCCAGGATCTTTTTAAATTAAGACACAGTTTCTGAGAACAGTTTTAGATTTACATAAAAAATGAAAAGATAGTACAGACAGTTCCCATATACTCTCTTGACTTAGTTTCACTTGTTATTAATATCTTTCATTAGTATGGCACATGTGTATAATTACAACATTGTAATATTGATATATTATTATATTGATACATTATTAACAAAATGTTATTGTTAGAGATACTTTTTTTTGAGACAGAGTCTTACCCTGTTGCCCAGGCTGGAGTGCAGTGGCGTGACCTTGGATCGATGTAACCTCTGCCTCTTGGGTTCAAGTGATTCTCTTGCCTCAGCCTCCCGAGTAGCTGGGATTACCGTCACCCACCACCATGCCTGGGTAATTTTATATTTTTAGTAGATACGGGGTTTCACCATGTTGGCCTCGAACTCCTGACCTCTAGTGATCTGCCCACCTTGGCCTCCCAAAGGGCTGGGATTACAGGTGTGTGCCACCACGCCCGGCCAATATGGATACATTATTATTGGTGAAAGCCCATATCCTATTCAGATTTCCTAATTTTTCCCTTATATCCTTTCTCTTTTCTAGGATCTCACATTACATTTGGTTGTCACATCTTCTTAGATTCCTCTTGGCTGTGACAGTTTCTGAGACATTCCTTGTTTTCTCATTTTTTAACTTTAATTTTTTTTTAGAGACAGGGTCTCGCTGTGTTGCCCAGGCTGGAGTGCTGTGGCACAATCACAGTTCACTGCAGCCTCAACCACTTGAGTTCAAGCGGTCCTCCCGCCTCAGCCTCCTGAGTATCTGGGACTACAGGGCACCTGCCACCAAACCCTGCTCCAGACGTTCGTTAATTTTTAATGACTGTTTTGAAGAGGACTACGCAGGTAGATTACAGGATGCTTCTCTATTGAAATGTGTCTGATGCTTTTCTCATGCTTAGGCTTGAGTTGTGGTTTCTTTGGGATTGTCCCTGACTGTTACGGGTGTAAAGGGTTTGCAAGACCCAATTGCCAGGGAACTATTGCTATTTTATTTACTTATTATTTTGTGTGACAGACCAAGGGCCCTGTTGTCTTCGCTGCTGAATCTCCAGCCTCTAGCACAGCCAAGTGCACAGTAAGTATTTGTGGAGTGAATGACTGTAAGAGGCATGAGTTCAGAGGCAGCTCTAGGTTCAAGAAGGATGCAGAATCGTCCCAGCATAGTGAGTGACTGAAGCAGAGGAGTGAGAAGGTTGCAGGGAGGGGTTGCCAATGTGGTCCAGGGGAACCTGACACCAAGGACAGAGATTCAGCCTTAGCCATACATTGGGGAGCATTCAAATATACTGATGCCTGGGTCCCACTCCCAGGGATGCTGAAATGCTTAGTATAGCGTGTGGCTTGGGCATCAGATTTCTTCTCTTTCTTTCTTTCTTTTTTTTTTTTTTTGATAGGATCTTGCTGTGTTGTCCAGGCTGGAGTGCAGTGGCACAATCATAGCTCACTGTAACCTTAAGTTCCTAGGCTCAAGTGACTCTCCTGCCTCAGTCTCCTGAGTAACTGAGACTACAGATGTGTGCCCAGCTAATTTTTTGATTTTTTTTTTTTTTAAATTAGGGACGGAGTCTTGCTATGTTGCCCAGGCTGATCTTGAACTCCTGGACTCAAGTGATCCTCTCTCCTTGGCCTCCCAATATGCTGGGGTTACATGCATGAGCCACCATGTCAGGCTGGCTTCAGAATTTTTGAAAGCTTTCCAGGTGATTTAAAAACACAGTTAAGTTTGAGAATCACCAATCTAGGAGCTGTTGCAAAGAAGCAGAGCTAGGGCGATGAATGCAAACAGTTAGAATTGGGGCACCTGTTTCCTGGCTGTGTGACCTTGGACAAGTTATTGAACCTTTCTGAGCACCTGTCCGTGCCCTGAAAATAGAGGAAGTGGTATTTACTTTATAGGAGTGTGTAGATGAAATATAAGTATTAATAAAAGAACCTGCCTAGTTCAGGAGGTTGCCATCAACACTTCATCAATAACAGCAACAATAATAAAAAACATTGAACGTGCACTGAGGTTTTTTTTGTTTTTTTTTTTGTTGTTGTTGTTTTTTTTTTTTTTTTGACGGAGTCTCGCTCTGTCGCCCAGGCTGGAGTGTGGTGGTGCGATCTCGGCTCACTGCAACCTCCGCCTCCTGTGTTCAAGAGATTCTCCCGCCTCAGCCTCCCGAGTAGCTGGACTACAGGCATGCGCCACCATGCCCGTCTAATTTTTGTATTTTTGTAGAGACAGGGTTTCACCATCTTTGCCAGGCTGGTCTTGAACTCCTGACCTCAAGTGATTCATGCCCGCCTCGGCCTCCCAAAGTGCTGGGATTACAAGCTTGAGCCACGGCGTCCGGCCTGCACTGAGTTTTTATTCACATGACAGACTTTATGCTCAGATCTTTAAATGGCGTTAGCTCTCAGGAGAGGCGGAAGATGTGGGAAGCAACCAAGTCACTGCCTTTCAAGAAGAAAAGCCGAGTGCGCCTTTCCTGGTGTGCTCTAAAGACAGCGAAGAATAATATTAATTACAATAGGAGCAACATTATCCATCTCCCATTTGCCCAATGCTTCGCGCTGGCATGGAGCATTTCCAGCCTCACGCGCTTTAATTTTCCCAGCTTTAATTTTCTATGGGGTCGGCCAAGTCATCTCCCTTGTTTAGAGGAGGAGGCCAGGCTCAGGGAGGGAGAGGGGTTGGCCCAAGGGCACAGAACGGTCGAGTGGCCAAGGCCAGAAGGTGCACCCGCAGGGAGAAGGGGGCAGCGGAGCCATCTCCGTGGCTGTTGTCACTGGGACACTAGAGCCGCGCCTTCCCCAGGCCTCCGCCGAGGCTGCTGGCGCGGGTCCCGCAGTGCCAGGGCCTGTTCCCCGCGCTCTGCCCGGGATGCTGAGGCCTCCGAGGGCTCCGGAGACGGTTTAGGGGGCGGGGGCGCGGAGGCGCGGCTCCGAGCAGGGGGCGGGGGCTGGATGCCGGAGAGGCCACTCACCCCCGCCCACCCCAACTCCCCTCCCTTCCCAAACACGCGGTCCCCTTTCTCCCGCGCGGCTGCTGAGCCTGGGCTGGGCGCGGGGGAGGCGGGGGGCATCGCGGAGGGGATCCCGCCCCCTCCCCCGGCCGCCCGGCGCCCCCACACCCACGTAAGCGCAGGGTTGGCCCGGATCCCACCGGCAGCACAGCGCGTCCCGGCTCCGCGCCGGTGCCTCCACCGTCCAGTCCCCACGCCGGCGCTGCACCGTCCCTGGCGGGTCCCCGCGGCCCCAGCCGGGCGCTTCGCCGGGCTCCGGCTCCTGCATCTGGGCGCAGCGCGCAGGCCGAGGCGCTGGCAGGCCGCCCCCGCCGCTCCGAACGCTGGTGAGTGGGGGCTCCGCGGCTCCGCGCGGGGACTCGGTGGGGCTGCGGCGCGGAGGTTGCGGGCAGGTGGGGATCCGTGGCGCTGGGTTGAGGCGTGTGGGGCGCTCCCTGCACCCACGTCCCCACCTCTCTGCCGCCCTTTGTCTCTGAGCTCCTCCTTGCCCCTTAGAGCCGTCGCCTCCGCTTTTCTCCGGGTCGTTCTGGTGAGTTTCCTATTCCCTTAGTTACCCCCGGTCTCCCTGCCCCATATCCCCACCTCCCCAACCCGTGGCCTCCGCTCACAGGCATGTTTCCAGCACCGAGCCTGATGCCTCGTGCATTTACAGGGCTCGATTGCCTTCTCTATCAGAGGGCTTATTTCACCAATTTCAGATATACCTGATGTGGCTGAGGCTGCAAGGGGTCTGGGCATTAGTGTGTGTGTGTGTGCGTGGGTGTGAGAGAGAGAGACTGAATTTGTGAGTGTGATCGCCGTCCTGAACAGGTGTGTGGAGCTGAATGTTTAAATGTGAGGATGATTTCAAAAGTCTGAAGTTTGTGTTTTGTGACCTAAATTGTGTGTGTGTGTGTGTTTCTGTGTGTATGTAGGAATTGTGTGACTGTCACTGCCTCTGTAGGATTTAATCCATGAAGGGTGGTTGTGCAGAGCCACGAAGGTGTGTGTGGTTGTGTGTCTGAGGGTGTACATGAATGTGTGTGTGTGCAGAATTGTACAACTGTATGCCTGGAATTGCATTTCTGAAGGTGTGTGGTTGTGCACCTGAGGGTGTACATGAATGTGGGAAGTGTGTGTGTGTAGGGATTGTATGACTGCATGCATGGAGCTGCATTTCTGAAGGTGTGTGTGTGTGTGTGTGTGGTTGTATGTCTGAAGAGTTTGCGTGTGACTGGGGTTGTGGATATGTCAATTGCATACAAGAGGTTTTCGAGGTTATGTGTGCCTGTGTCTGAGTGTGTGTGATGTACGTGGTTTCCATCCCATCTCTCTCTCCCCTCACTCACTCCTCTGGCTAGCACAGCATTGACATAAAATGTATAGAAAGCATTTTCAGTTTGCTCACTGTAGCTTGCTTTAGTTTTAGGGATGTAAGAGGCTCCAAGAGGTAGCCAACACGTCTCGTCATATCGAAGTGTCTGGAGGTTGGGAGAACCGAGTGGGAAAGACCCATCCTCACCCCTCACCCTGTAGAGACTGGGGACACTAGAAGGGACATTTTCTGAGCAGGAAACCCAAGAGGTAAGTCCAAAAGAAAGCCTAGACCCAGGAAAGCCTAGAAAAGAGGGAGCCCAGGGTGGGGAAGAAGAGAGAGACCCAGAGAGGCCCAAGTGGAGGTTCAGATCACATTTCAAGTCAAACATTTTTAAAAACTAATATTATTATTAATTTGACAATCACAATGGTATAAACTTATAAGTGACGCAGACAAGAGAAAAATTGATAGTAAGACATTCTCACACTGTAGCATTTTATTCTTAATTTTGTGTGAGTTAGGTTTCTGCTTTTTATCAACCACAGTTGACAACTATATTATAGTCATCAGGTGCTAAGGTGCTGTTTTCTTTTCTTTTAGACAGGGTTTTATGCTGTTATCCAAGTTGGAGTGCAGTGGCACGATCATAGCTCATTGCAGCCTCAAACTTCCGGGTTCAAGCGATCCTCCTTCTTTAGCCTCTTGAGTAGCTAGGACTACAGGCACAGGCCACTATGCCTGGCTAATTTTTAATTTTTTAAAAAGAGATAGGGTCTGGCTATGTTACCCAGGCTGCCATGAACTCCTGGGGTCAAGCGGTCCTCCAGACTTCACTTCCCAAAGTGTTGGGATTGCAGGCATGAGCCACTGCGTCTGGCCCACGGATGCTAAGTGTTGTCTGCTCTTCTCCAGGGGTCAGCAAATTTTTTTCAGCAAATGGCCCGAGAGTAAATATTTGGAGCTTTGTGGCCCATACAATCTGTCCCAACAACTCAACTTAGGCATTGTAGCTTGAAAGCAGCTCTAGACAGTAGGTAATGAATGAGTGTGGCTGTGTGCCAATAAAACTTTATTTACAAAAACAAGCAGTAGGCTGAATTTGACTAGCAGACCATAGTTTCTCAATATCGTACTATGGCTTGTAAGGAAGAGAAAAGAACCGGACAAAACCCTAGCCTCTGGAGTTTTCCTGACTGTTCAGATCTTAGCTGAATGATCTCTCTTGGTATCCACAGGCAACTTCCTGCTGTGGTTTAGGGACTGGAAACATAATATCCCAGAGGAGAGGGAGGGATTGTACATTCCCTGCGTAGTCTGTGGTTCACTCCTTGGGATTTTTTTTTTTTTTTTTTTTTTTCACAGCAAGGTGAGAAGCAGCATTGTGGTTTCAGGAGATGGATCCATTTGGAGCAGGATCCTAAGTGGGGCTTGGCATTCGGTATTTGGATTAGATCTAGAGGACACAGGGTCTAGAAAACCAGGGCAGATGTCCCATCCCTTGGATATGGTGGGGAGTGGGGGAGGGCAAGGAAGATCTCAGAAAAACCAGTGGTAGCAAAACAAAAAGCCAGGCATCTACGTACTGGTAAAACAGAGACCTCCAAGAAACTCTCAGCTGGACCTGGTTGAATTCAGGTACTGGGGATGAGGCTGGGGTGGGGGTGAGAAAATATATCAGGGAGCCTTGATCCCTTAGGAAGTAGATGGGGAAGCTGCCGGGTGCTGTGGCTCATGCCTGTAATCCCAGCACTTTGGGAGGCCGAGGCAGGTGGATCACCTGAGGTCAGGAGTTCGAGACCAGCCTGGCTGACATGATGAAACCTGCCTCTACTAAAAATCAAAAAAAATAAAAAATAAAAAGTTAGCCAGATATGGTGGCAGGTGCCTGTAATCCCAGCTATTCAGGAGGCTGAGGCAGGAGAATTGCTTGAATCCAGGAGGTGGAGGTTGCAGTGGGCTGAGATCATGCCACTGCACTCCAGCCTGGGCAACAAGAGCGAAACTCTGTTTAAAAAAAAAAAAAAAAAAGGAAGTAGATGCGGGAGGTGAACACATTCTCTTTATAGGTGTGACAATCCCAGGCAAACCAAATGGGTACAGAGTCCAGTACAGGGTACAATATTTAGTGTCTTCCTTTAATTTAGAGAGTTTTTTTTTTCTGAGTCAGATGAATCTGGTGTATTGCTGGGGAAACAGACAGCAGACTCTGAAGGGAGAAGTAAAAAGGGTTTGTCATCAGACTATTTATGAAGATACTAGCAGAGAGGAGGACCCAGGGAGATCCAGGGTTATGGCGGAGGACTGTCCCATGGGAGCAGTGGTCTTAGGTAGAGGAACAGTTTTCATCAGACTGTTTATGAAGATACTAGCAGAGAGGAGGACCAAGGGAGATCCAGGGTTATGGCGGATGGTCCCATGGGAGCAGTGGTCTTAGGTAGAGAACACAGCTGCTGCCAAGTAGGGGCCTGGCACAGGGAGCTGGGAGACAGGAGAATAAATGCTCCACTTCAATCTCTTCCCACCCTCCATTCTCCTGCTGCCTTTAAAAGAATTTTGTGGCGCTGGCGTGGTGGCTCACGCCTGTAATCCCTGCACTTTGGGAGGTGGAGGCGGCGGATCACCTGAGGTCAGGAGTTTGAGTCCAGCCTGGCCAATGCGGGTGAAACCCCATCTTTACAAAAGATATAAAAATTAGCCAGGTGGGGTGCGGGTGGCTGTAATCCCAGCTATTTGGGATGCTGAGGCAGGAGAGTCACTTGAACCTGGGAGGTGGGGTTGCAGTGAGCTGAGATGGTGCCATTGCGCTCCAGCCTCCAAAAAAAAAAAAAAAAAA